CAGCAAAGGTGCCAACCTGGCCCCTGTCCCCTGCGTGACCTCCCAGCTTCCCTTTTGGGTCAGGGATGGCTGGAGCACCCTGCACTCCGTGAAAACTACAGCCCAGCCTGGAGCGGGTGGGGGTTCATAGAGGAGAGCCCAGCCTAGCCCCCAGGAAGCCAGGCAGAAGCCTGGGGGCCTTGGGACACCACCCTGTGGGTCAGGGGCATCTCTGTGTCACAGTGTGACCACCCCAGGCTCGGTCCCTCTGCCTGCCCTGAGACCCTCTCCCAGTCCTCACCCTCTGACCCCTGCCCCGGTGCTGGGGCAGGTGGTGTCCTGGTGGTTGGGGTTTTCCACAGCCTCTCTCCACAGACAAGGAGCGGGACAAGGCGAAGGAGAAGTATGTGCGCAGCCTCTGGAAGCTCCATGCCCTGCACAATCAGTATGTACTGGCTGTGCAGGCGGCAGCATTGCACCACCAGCACCACTACCAGCGGGTGCTGCCCAGCCTGCATCAGTCCCTCTACGGTCTGCAGCAGGAGATGGTCCTCGTCCTGTAAGAGCCCTGCCTGCCCCGCTGCCCATCCCGTGCCCCACTGCCCACCCCGGCAGCACTGCCCATCCTGTGCCCTGCTGCCACCCTGCACCCCACTTCCGACCCCTGGGCATGCCCATGGCCCCCCAGAACCAGCAGTGCTCCCACAGAAAGGAGATCCTCAGCGAGTACTGCAGCATCAGCAGCCTGGTACAGGAGGACCTTTTGGCTGTGCACCAGGAGATTGCCAGTGCCATCCAGGCCATCGACCCTGCCACTGAGTACAGCAGCTTCATCCAGAGCCACCAGTATGGCTCCACGCAGCCACAGCCTCTCTGCTGGGTATGGCCCTGCTGCCTCTGGCTGGCAGCGGCCAGCACGGGGCAAGTGGAGGCACAGCTGTCCTGGGTGCCCACAGGTACGAATCTGAGATGCCACCAGCTGTGTCCTTTGATGAGAGCCTGCTGGAGGACACAGAAAACCTGGTGCCGGGGGAGCTGCAGCTGAATGAGCTGACCCTTGAAAGTGTCCAGCACTGGTGAGTGGGGCTAGCCATGGGCAGGGGCAGGTGAGGGGCAGGGGCCAAGCCCGCTGTTGGCACACGTCTCTTGCAGCCTGACATCGGTTGAGGAGGAGTTGGTGGCCGCCACAGAGGCCGTGAGTATCAAGGAGCAGCAGATGCAGGAGCTGAAGGCAGAGATCCACGATGAGGAGCAGGGCCGGAGCCCCGGGGAGCGGTGAGGTGCAGCAGAGGGGGGTGAGGGGCCCGGGCAGCGGGTGCTGACCATCCCCTCCCCTCCCCAGGGTGCACTTGTTGGGCAGGCGGCAGGGGCTGCATGAGGCACGGCAGCAGCTCGAGGGCTGCCTGTGTGCCCAGGCCAAGCTGCAGCTGCAGCGGGACCTGCTGGCCAGCAAGCTGGCAGAGCTGGGTGTCAGGGAGCCCCTGCCTGCCCTGCCTCTGCCAGAGGATCGGCAGTCCGTCTCCTCCACGGTGAGTCAGCCTCGCCTCCTGCGCTCCGGGAGCTGCAGGGATGGGGTGCACAGCTGGTGCACAGCCCACGCCTCCTTCCAGGAGCAGGAGCGGAGCGGGGCCAGCGCGCTGGAGACCCTCAAGAACCACATCACGGGGATCTTCAGCCCAAAGTACTCGGTGAGTCCCTGGGTGCCTCCCGCCACCCTGCTCTCTGCCCAGCTGCCTTGATGAGCCTGTCCTCTCTCTCTTCTGGCCACACAGCCCCCCTTGCTTCGGCACCTCCAGATTCTGCTCCCACCTGCCCTGGGCACAGCTTCCAGACACTCCTGCTGCCCCACCTCTGGCACAACTCAGGAGTGTGCATGGCTGGGCTCACCTTGTCTCCTTCCAGCTGCCACCCCCCGTGCCCCTAATCCCAGACGTGCAGAAGCCGCTGTGCCAGCAGGTCTGGTACCACGGGGCCATCCCACGTTCGGAGGTGCAGGAGCTGCTGACCTGCACTGGGGACTTCCTGGTGCGGGAGAGCCAGGGCAAGCAGGAGTATGTGCTCAGCGTGCTGTGGGATGGGCAGCCCCGGCACTTCATCATCCAGGCTGTCGGTGTGAGTGACCACGAGCAGGGGGATCGCTGGGGTGGCCTTGCATGGCCAGGCAAGGTTCCTGTCCATCACAACCTCTTGGGCTCCCTCCCTGCAGAACATGTTTCGGCTGGAGGGTGACAGCTTCCCCACCATTCCGCTGCTGATCCAGCACCTCCTGCAGAGCCAGCAGCCCATCACCCGCAAGAGCGGCATTGTCCTGGCCAGGGCTGTGCCCAAGGTGAGACAGGGAGTGGGGAGGAGGATGGGGCCCCCTGGGCAGGGGCAGCTCTGCCTGGCCCTTTCTCCTGTTGATGGCTGGGCTGAGCACCGCAGGCATGCCTCTCCAGCTAGACAGGGGAACCTGGACCTCGGCTCTGCCTGAGAGGGGCCTGCAGGGGTCTGCGGGCCAGGGGCAGCTCACGGGTGTCTGTTTGCTGCAGGACAAATGGGTGCTTAACCACGAGGACGTGCTGCTGGGGGAGCGCATTGGTCGGGTGAGATGGGGTGCTGTGGGGTCTGCAGGAGGGCAGGGCTGTCCTCACAGGTCTGCCGGAGGACGGGGGTTGCCTTGGGCTGCACGGTGAGCTGAGCCTGGTGCACCTGTGTCTCGGAAGGGTAACTTTGGGGAAGTGTTCAGCGGACGCCTGCGTGCTGACAACTCCCCCGTTGCTGTGAAATCCTGCCGGGAAACCCTTCCGCCTGAGCTCAAGGCCAAGTTCCTGCAGGAAGCCAGGTCCGTGTGGCTGTTGGGCTTCTCCTGTCACATCTGTCCACTCTTGGAGCTGTTGGACACTGCTGGGACTGCAGCACCCTCATGCTGAGGGCCGTGTCCCTGGGCGGGCAGGGCAGAGTGCCCTGGGGATGGCAGCGGGTGGCTTGTGCCCAGAGCAGCCAGGCCCCCCTACACTCACAGTGCCCATCCTGTCCCCACAGGATTCTCAAGCAGTACAGGCACCCCAACATCGTGCGGCTCATCGGCGTCTGCACGCAGAAACAGCCCATTTACATCGTCATGGAGCTGGTGCAGGGTGAGCGCCCCGTCCCCGCGCTCCCCACGCACCCACGCCTGGGTGAGCTGCCAGCGCTGCCTGGCACCCACCGCCTCTGCAATCTGGGCACAGGGGGGGACTTCCTGACCTTCCTGCGCAGTGAGGGTCCCCACCTCCGCGTGAAGGAGCTGGTCAAGATGACAGAGAATGCTGCCGCCGGCATGGAGTACCTGGAGAGCAAGCACTGCATCCACAGGTGGGCCCTGGCAGGACGGGGAGCCCTGGGATCCTCACCACCCCATCCTGTGCCAGGTGGAGCCCCAGGGACAGCTGGGCACATGGCTGATTGCCTGGGGCTGTCTCAGGGACCTGGCTGCTCGCAACTGCCTGGTGACGGAGAGGAACACCCTGAAGATCAGTGATTTTGGGATGTCACGGGAGGAGGAGGATGGCATCTATGCCTCCACAGGGGGGATGAAGCAAATCCCTGTCAAGTGGACGGCCCCTGAAGCACTCAATTATGGTACAGGATGGAGCCAGGCATGGCCTCGCACCCCGCAGCTGGCACTATCCCACTCCCACACACCTGGTCCTGGGGAGGGAGGCAGAGACCCCGAGCACCTCAGCCCTCAGGACCATGGGCATAGCTGGGCAGCGGTGACATGCGTGTTCCCTGACAACAGCATTTGTCCTGCCCCATGTCCCCAGGCCGATACAGCTCAGAGAGTGATGTCTGGAGCTTTGGCATCCTGCTGTGGGAAGCCTTCAGCCTGGGTGCTGTCCCCTATGCCAACCTCAGCAACCAGCAGACGCGGGAGGCAGTGGAGCATGGTAGGGGACACGGCTGGGAGCCACCATGAGCTGTGGGTCCATCACTGTGGGGCTGTGCCTGTGGGATGGGCCAGACACATCCCACAGCGGGATTTGAGGTGTGAGGGGCCAGTGATCCACGTCCCCATCCCTGTTGCCCAGGTTTGCGGCTGGACCCTCCGGAGCAGTGCCCTGAGGAGGTGTACCAGCTGATGCAGCGCTGCTGGGAGTATGACCCCCACAAGCGGCCCAACTTCTCCACCATCCACCAGGACCTCATTGCCATCCGCAAGAGGCAGCGGTGACAGGGAGCACCAGGGGCCCTGGATCCATCCCATAGCACTGCTGGGGACACAGCAGAGCCCTGTCTGGGCAGCGGGTACTGCGGGGTGGCTGTGTGGTGCTTGAGCCCCAGGGCAGGGGCTCCTGCATTCCTCAGGGTGGGACATGGCACCCACAGCTCCTGCCCGGCTTCGTCTTGTACAATAAACACACGAGCTCTGCAGCTGTGCATCTAGGAGCTGTGAGGGGACACAGACTTGTACTGCACTGGGACATGGTACTGGGACGAGACACTGCAATGATGCACCAGGACGGGTCGCTGTGACAGGGCACGCGGTGCACCAGCATGGGGTACCAAAAAGAAGTTACCAGAATGGGGTGCACTTAGACAGGAATGGCATGGGGAGTACTGAGACAGGGCACTGGGACAGAGGGCTGGAACGGGACCCTGGGACAGGGCACCGGGACAGGGATCAAAGACAGGGTACCGGGGTGGGACACCAGGATGGGGCACACCGGGATGGGGCACACCGGGACAGGGTACCGGGAGGGCACCGGCATCTGGACTCGGCTGCGGGGTTGGGGGTGGCTGCTCGCGCTCAGGGGCTGTGCGGTACCCGGGCGGTTCGGCGCCGCCCCCGCGGGCCGGGCTGTGCGGTACCGGCCGGTTCGGCGCCGCCCCCGCGGGCCGGGCTGTGCGGTACCCGGCCGGTTCGGCGCCGCCCCCGCGGGCCGGGCTGTGCGGTACCGGCCGGTTCGGCGCCGCCCCCGCGGGCCGGCGCAGCGGGCGGAGCGCGAGGCGGGGCCTGGCCTGGCCTGGCCCATCCCGGCGGGCCCCGGCGGGCGATGTGAGGGCCTGGGCCGGGCTGCGGAGCCGCCCGGGGCACGGACGGGGTGGCGGCGGTGACTCGGTCGGTGCTGGCCCGGCCTCTCCCGGCCTTGGCCGTCGCCGCGGGGCCTCAGCGCGGCGGGCCCGGGCGCTGCCCGGCCCTGCGGGGCCGCGCGGCCTCTCCGGCCCCGGCCCCATCAGCGGATATAAATATCCAGCATCGGATTAAGCCAAGTAGGACGCGGTGAGGGCTCTTGGAGGAGGAGGCAGGAGGCCGCGGTGAGGGGCTGCGCTGTCCGGCCTGGCTCCCCCCCAGTGCTGGCGCAGGTGAGTCCCTGCATCCCTTCGGGATGAAGCTGAAGAAGCAGGTGACAGTGTGCGGGGCTGCCATCTTCTGCGTGGCCGTCTTCTCCCTCTACTTGATGCTGGACCGGGTACAGCATGACCCTACACGACACCAGAGTGGGGGCAACTTCCCCAGGGTGAGTTTGGAGGGTCTGGGGTGAGTGAGGGGGTCCTGGAATGGCAAACAGGGACATTCAGTCAGGGAAATTCATGGGGAGCCAGCCCTGGCCTCTGGGCATTAAGGTGCCAGGACCAAGACTGGCTTCCCACAGCTGTGGGTGACCTCTTGCCCCTCGCTGTGCCTCCAGAGCCAGATCTCGGTGCTACAGAACCGCATCGAGCAGCTGGAGCAGCTGCTGGAGGAGAACCATGAGATCATCAGCCACATTAAGGACTCGGTGCTGGAGCTGACAGCCCATGCAGAGGGGCAGCCGGCATTGCCCCAGCACCCCCTGAATGGCTCCTGGGTGCTCCCCCCTGAGAGTCGCCCAAGTTTCCTCTCTGTGTCCCCGCAAGACTGCCAGTTTGCTCTAGGGGGCAAAGGACAGAGCCCAGACCTTCAGGTGAGCATCTGGTGGCTCTGCTAGCATATGAGGGGTCCATACCTGGCATCCATGGAATCCTGGGTCTACTCTTTCAGGGGTCTCAGCACTGTCTCCTACCCACAGATGCTGGCTGTGTACTCCCTGCTGCCCTTTGACAACCAGGACGGTGGTGTCTGGAAGCAGGGCTTCGACATCACCTACGAGCCCAATGAATGGGACACAGAGCCCCTACAGGTGTTTGTGGTGCCGCACTCCCACAATGACCCAGGTGAGAGGCAGGGGCTGGCCCAGCTCCTGCTAGGGTGCAGTGCAGGCAGGGAACCTGGGCCCCCCACAGTGACCCCCACCTGTGCTGCCAGGCTGGATCAAGACTTTCGACAAGTACTACTATGACCAGACGCAGCACATCCTCAACAGCATGGTGCTGAAGATGCAGGAGGACCCGCGCCGGCGCTTCATCTGGTCTGAGATCTCCTTCTTTTCCAAGTGGTGGGACAACATCAGTGCCCAGAAGCGGGCTGCTGTGCGCAGGTAGGGCTGCCCCCCCGGCCCCAGTGCCCACCTAGCTGCCAGGCAGGCTGAGAGCAGAGCGTGTGTGAGGGAACGGCCCTGGGGACTGGAAAGCTGCCATGGGCCCTGCACTGCTCAGCCCTCAAAGTGCCAGCAGCCTCCCAGTGCCATCAGATGTCAGAGCCACTGCCTTGTGGAGGGAGAGGTGGGAGAGACAGATCTTGCCCTGGGCCCGTCCCTGTGCTGATTGGGCTGGGGAACTTGTGTGCAAGGCCCAGGGCACCCGTGGAAGGGTGGGAGACCTGGAGAGCAGGATTGTGTGGTGCAACAGGGCCCCCTTGTCTGCCCCTTGCCCTGAGAGCGTTGGGGATGGAGGGGGGAATGGAGGGGGAATGGGCTGTGGCTGGCATTGGGCTGTGGAGGGATGACTCACTGCATGGGGACAGCATGAGAAGGGGGGAATGGCAGTGGTGGCTGTGGGGGCTGCATGTAGACTGTGGGTGGCTCAGGGCAGGGGGACTCCACAATGGACATGTGGCTCATGCAGGGCTCTGGTCACATCTTGGGTGTCCCCTGACAGGCTGGTGGGCAATGGGCAGCTGGAGATGGTGACAGGCGGCTGGGTGATGGCTGATGAGGCTAATTCCCACTACTTCGCCATGATTGACCAGCTGATCGAGGGGCACCAGTGGCTGGAGAAGAACATTGGTGAGAGCCAGGCAGATGGTGGCTGGGGGCCTGCCTAATGCTCTGCAGGCCTCCAGGTCCCGACAGGACCCTCCTCACGGGAGGTGCTGCTGGCCCAGCACGGGGCTGACAGGTCTCTGTGCCGCAGGTGTGACGCCGCGGTCGGGCTGGGCCGTAGACCCCTTTGGGTACAGCTCCACCATGCCCTACCTGCTGAAGCGCTCCAACCTGACAGCCATGCTCATCCAGCGCGTGCACTACGCCATCAAGAAGCACTTTGCTGCCACCCAGAACCTGGAGTTCATGTGGAGACAGACATGGGGTGAGGAGCTGCCAGGAAGGGACTGCAGAGGGGGCCCTGTGGGGCATGTGGCAGCAGAGAATGGCTACCAGCTGCTTTTCTGTGCACATGAGCCTAGCACTGGGAGGTGATGTCTCTGCCCTGTGGGACAGCCTCAGGGTGACTTTCCACGCGCCCACAAGTCCAGCAACACACTGGGGGAGGCTGCTGTGCCCTCTGAGCTCTGAGGTCTGCTCTGTCAGACCGCTGTCTTTGGGCCCTCCTGCTCAGGGACATGCAAGGGAGAGCCATTGCTGGTGCTCACCTGTCCTTGGTCCCACAGATCCAGACACGAGCACCGACATCCTCTGCCACATGATGCCCTTCTACAGCTACGATGTGCCTCACACCTGTGGCCCAGACCCCAAGATCTGCTGCCAGTTTGACTTCAAGCGCTTGCCTGGAGGCCGGATCAACTGTCCCTGGAAGGTGCCTCCCCGCGCCATCACCGATGCCAACGTGGCAGAGCGGTGAGTGCGGCATGGGCAGGGGCACGCCACTCCCGGCCTCGTGGGCCACCAGGGGCCAGCCTCATGCTCTGGCCCCCGCACAGAGCCCAGCTGCTGCTGGACCAGTACCGCAAGAAGTCCAAGCTGTACCGCAGCAAGGTGCTGCTGGTGCCCCTGGGAGATGACTTCCGCTACGACAAGCCACAGGAGTGGGATGCCCAGTTCCTCAACTACCAGCGCATCTTCGACTTCCTCAACTCTCGGCCCGACCTCCATGTCCAGGTATGTGTGGAGAGCTCTGTGGAGCTGGGGGCAGCAGGAGGCCACGGCAGAGCACAGTTAGAGGGGTGAACAGTCCTGTGAGGGGTGATAAGAGCCCCCACTGCAGGAGCCCCAGCTCAGGGCTGCACTTGCTGTCTTGCAGGCACAGTTTGGCACGCTCTCTGATTACTTTGATGCCCTGTACAAGAAAGTGGGCATCGTACCAGGGATGAGGCCCCCCGGGTTCCCAGTTCTGACCGGGGATTTCTTCTCCTATGCGGACCGGGAAGATCACTACTGGACAGGATACTTCACTTCCCGGCCGTTCTACAAGAGCCTGGACCGGGTGCTGGAGGCCCACCTCCGGTGAGGGGCAGTGGGTTGGTCCACGGGGCACAGGAGGCGTGTGGGGGGCACGGGTGAGGGGTGGCCAGGCAGTATCTGGGAGCTCAACAGTCCCCAGTCTGCGCCAGCTGCCAACACACTGGACTGGTGCACAGAGTGCCAAGCCCTCACCCAGTCCCAGGGCAGTGTGTGCCTTTGCCACCCCCCTCCCAGGCCAGTCCCTGTGGTATTGCAGCACCAGGGACACTCAGTGACTCTGTCCCTGCGCAGGGGGGCAGAGATCCTGTACAGCCTGGCACTCGCCCACGCCCGCCGTGCCGGTGCCGATGGCAGGTACCCACTCTCTGACTACGCCCTGCTGACCAACGCCCGCCGCAACCTGGGCCTCTTCCAGCACCATGATGCCATCGCTGGCACTGCCAAGGAGGCTGTGGCCGTGGACTATGGAGTCCGGTGCGTGTGGGGGCCAGGACACCCTCAGAGCCTGTCTCAGAGTGGGGCTGGTGGGCTCAGGGCCGGGAGAACAGCTAGGTGTGGGGATGCTTTGGGGAGGTTCTCCCTCTCACAGGGAGATGTAGAAGGTGGCTCCCTCTGCCTCTGCCTAGGCTGCTCCAATCCCTCACCAACCTCAAGCGTGTCATCATCAATGCTGCACACTACCTTGTGCTGGAGGACAAGGATGCATATCGCTACGACCTGGCTGCACCGTTCCTTGGCATGGTGAGCAGCACCAGCCCCTGCCTCCCTGCACTCTGGCACTCTGTCCCCATGCCCCTGGGAGCAACTCCGTGCTGCAGAGGCCAGGAAGGGAGCCCCAGATTGTGCCCATGTCCTTGGGCCCAACTGGCAGGGGCATGGGGCACACCCCAGCTCTTTACTACTCCTCCCCAGGATGAGACACGCTCCAGCCAGGACTCTCTTCCAGAGAGGACAGTGGTCAAACTGGGCACCTCACCTCGGTAGGGCCTCCTGCCTTGCTCTGGGGACTTATGGGGCTGTGGGGAGGCAATGAGGGAGTACCTGTGAAGCTGTGGGTAGGTGCAGTGGATTCTGTAGTTAGTGTGGGGCATGGGACATCTGGGATGCTGTGAGGCTGGGATGCCAAGCCCTGTGTTACCCCCACAGGTTCCTGGTGGTGTTCAACCCGCTGGAGCAGGATCGCCTGAGCGTGGTGCCAGTGCTGGTGGACTCCCCGCACGTGCGTGTGCTCTCTGAGGAGGGGCAGCCCCTGCCCTCCCAGCTCAGTGCAGTGTGGAACTCTGCCACTGATGCGGTGCCCAATGTCTACCAGGTATGGGGTGCCCCACACCCACAGCCCATCTGTGCCAGCCTCCCACCCCACACACTGCCAGGACACACCGGCAGCCCTGCTCTGTCCCTGCCCCACAACATGAGATCCCACAGCTGCCGAACCCTCAGGTTCCCACGCATGTGCCTCCTCAGCAGCAGCCCTGCAGTGCTGAGGAGGGTCTTTGCCCCACTGACCCCCAGTCATTCCCAGAGGTGGGGACTGGCTCAGGTCCCCATGCTGCCTGCAGGTGTCTGTCCTGGCCCGCCTGCCTGCGCTGGGGCTGCGTGTGCTGCAGCTGCACAAGGCCTTGGATGGCCACGCCACGCCAAGGTCCTCCACGCGCCTGTACCTGCACGGCCGGGACGTGCCCGTGCACAAGCCCGAGGCTCTGCCCCTGCACGTCTTCCCGGCTGCTGCTGATGACTTCTGCCTGGAGAACCAGCACCTGCAGGCCTGCTTCTCGGGGCGCACGGGTCTGCTGCAGGTGAGTGCGGGGCTCTGACAGGGCGTGGGGTGGAGGACAGGAGGGGTGCATCCCGCTGCTTCATGCTCTTACTGCTGTGCCGGAACACACCTGCAGAGCCTGCGCCCAGCTGGGGAGGAGCAGGGGCACAGGGTCAGCAGCGAATTTCTCGTCTATGGCACCAGGACCTCCAAGGACAAAAGTGGGGCCTATCTCTTCCTGCCTGATGGCGAGGCCAAGGTACAGAGTCCACCTGTGGAAGCCAGCTGACAGCTGTGCCTGTAGGACTGTCCTCAGGCAGCAGTGTCAGCACAGCTCTATCCCTCTCCCTAGCCCTACACTCCCAAGGACCCCCCAGTGGTGCGGGTGATGGAGGGACCCCTCTTCTCAGAGGTTGCCAGCTACTACCAGCATGTCCAGACCGTGGTGCGGCTGTACAATGTGCCAGGTGAGGTCTTGAGGCTGTGCCAGGTGTTGCTGGCCCAGGGAACTGGGCCATGCTGCCCTTGGGGCTCAGCCCCTCACTGCCTACCCACAGGGGTGGAGGGCCTGTCCCTGGATGTGTCCTGCCTGGTGGACATCCGTGACCACATCAACAAGGAGCTGGCCCTGCGCTTTAGCACTGACATTGAGAGTGATGACACCTTCTTCACGGACCTTAATGGTTTCCAGGTATGCAGCAGGCTGGGGAGGGACAGCAGCTGCCCACAGGGGGACAGTGCTCTGGCACCAGGCACTGTGGGATCCACCTCTGGCCCTGATCTCTGTTCCTTGGCAGATCCAGCCCCGCAGGTACCAGCGGAAGCTGCCTCTGCAGGCCAACTTCTACCCGATGCCTGCCATGGCCTACATCCAGGACATGCAGAGCCGCCTGACACTGCTCACAGCCCAGGCCCTGGGGGTCTCCAGCCTCCACAGCGGTGAGCTGGGCTCTGTGCCTTGGGGAGCTGCTGTGGAGCTAGGGCTGTCCTCCCCAGGGGAAGCAGGGGAGGAGGGTGCTGCAGGCTGGGCAGGGTGCCCTGGTCCTGCTGTCACTGGGGGCTCTGTGCTGTGGGGTGTGGCTGGCACCTGGTAAAGCCTGGGCTGCAGGGACTTGCTCTCCACAGGCCAGCTGGAGGTGATCCTGGACCGGCGCCTCATGCAGGATGACAACCGGGGCCTGGGCCAGGGGCTGAAGGACAACAAACGTACCTGCAACCGGTTCCGGCTCCTCCTGGAGCGCCGCAGCACTGCCAACAAGGTGCTGGCTGTGAGGCAGCAGGGCTGAGAGCCCAACCTGCCTTGGGATGGAGCTGGGTGGAGGCATTTGCAGAAAGCCACACGTGATGGGATGCGGTGTCCTCTCCCCTCTTGTCCCATTGTGCTGGCACTGGGCAGGGATGGGCCTGGAGCAGGGGACATGGGGAGAGCAGGACATGCAGTGGGCTCTGTCCCTGTGGAGCCACGTTGCCCTCATAATCACAGTGTTCTTGTCCAATCCCCTCGCTGCCCTCTATGCGTGTGCTGTGCCACCCATCCAGAGCTCCGGCTTCTTTTCCAAACTGGTCTCCATGTTTAAAGCCTTGAGCTTCCCTGGCACCAGGACTGGCAGCCCTGAGGTAATGGCCAGCCTGGCCCTGCTGTCTCTCCCTGTCTTGTGCACTAGCTGCTAGCCACTAGTCTAGCCAGGCTTGTAGCAGGTCTGTAGCCTGACCATCAACTAGCCAGGGTCCTGTTTGGTGCTGGGGCGGGGGGACCTGCCTGGGCAGGGGCGCTCCATGTGCGCTGTGCTGGCAGGTGCCTGGGCTCAAGGCACTGCTGGAATGGAGGTTCTTTGGGCCTTGCCCAGGCTCTGCCTGCCTTCCTGGGCCCGCACTTGACCCATGTGCTGCTTGGCAGGTGCAGGATGAGCGCCCCATCAGCTTCCCCTCCCTGCTGAGCCACATCACCTCTGTGCACCAGAATGCTGAGGCCTTGGTCATGCCAGTGGCCCTGGAGAAGCCAGCCCTGCCAGCCTTGCGCTCCTTTGTGCCCCTTGCCACCACCCTTCCTTGCGACTTCCACATCCTCAACCTACGGACGCTGCAGGCAGAGGTGAGCCATGGCCCAGGGATGGCAGGACTCTGGTGGGGGCCTTGCCCCTGCTGTCCCCAGTGCTGTGCCTCACGCTCCAGCTCCCTGCAGGATGACTCACTACCATCAGCTGAGGCAGCACTGATCCTGCACCGCAAAGGCTTCGACTGCAGCCTGGAGGCCAAGAACCTGGGCTTCAACTGCACCACCAGCCAGGGCAAGGTAGGGCCAGGTTGCCCTCACACCTCCTCTGGGCCAGCTGAGCTGGGAGCTCGGCATGGCAGCCATGGCATGTGTCAGGCTGCCCTGGGCGCAGTGCTGCCCCTGCCATCACATCCTCACCTGGGCCTCCCCACTTCCTCCTCTCTCCTCAGCTAGCTCTGGGAGGCCTGTTCCAGGGCTTGGAGCTGGGCTCCCTGCAGCCCACCTCATTGACACTGATGTACCCGCTGGGCACAGCCTCCAACAGCACCAACATCCACCTGGACCCCATGGAAATCGCCACGTTCCGCATCCGCCTGGGGTAGTGTCAAGCAGGAGAGGAGTGGAGTGGCTGGACAGCACAGGAGCAGCACCAGTGCAGCAGTGGAGTGGGGCCAGCAGACTGGCAGAGGCTGTGCTGCCACTTTCTAATTTATTAGCTCCATGTTCTCAGATAGATTTGGAATGAACTGCTGTGGCAGGGCTGGAGCAGACGTTGCTGGACACGGTGCTGGGTGGGCCGAGCGTGGCTGGGGAGGGCTGCAGGCTGGGCTCTGCTGCTGCTGGTGGGACACACACTGCTGCCCTGTCACAGGCAGGCTGCCCAGGAGGGCGGCCACCCTGATGGCTGGGGCAGGGGCCCATGCGGGGCTCCCCTGACTGGCGGGGCAGCAAGGAGAGGCCAGGAGCACCTGTGGTGTTGGGCAGCTGCCTGAGGAAGTGCTGTGGACTTGGGACTGACCTCTCCTGGAGCTCATAGGAAACACAAGGCTGTTTCCAAGGGCCCTGGTGTACGTGTGGTTTGTGGCTCTCACGCAGGGGAGTGGGAATGGTGTGCTGTGGGGAGACAGGGCAGCACTCTCAGGTGGGCAGAGGCCAGCTTGAAGATCTCACCAGGAGCCCCCGGCACCTGTGAGAGGCTGGTGGCATGGCCAGGCCCAGCTGTGCTCGGGAGCAGGCAGTGCCTGGTGCTGGGCAGGAGCCAGGGGGATGGGAGTCAGTTCCTGGTGCGGACAGCAATGCCTGGGTGAAGCGTGGGAGTGCCTCCCCCAAACCCAGAGCCTTTAGCCCCGTTTCAGAGCGAGCCTGGCGCTCTGCTCTGCTGGAGCTGCAGTGGCTGAGTCGCAGCTAATTACACCGTGTCACCAGAGCATCCTGGTTGCTGTGGGAACCACAGGCCATAATTCCTGGCCCCCTGGGGCTGAATACTTCCAGCAGGGAGGGCATTGGGAAGGACAGGGTGGGGTGTGGAACTGTCTCAGCTCTGGCTTGGTTGGATTGGACTGGATGAGCTTAGAGGTCTTTTCCAACGTAAATGATTATGTGATTCCACAATTCCTGCACAAACCCCAGCACATCCACATCCCATGGGTTTGGCCCCTGGAAGCTCAGCACCTCGCAGTGCTTGCCCTGTGCCCTGGCCTGGTCCAGTGCCCTTTCAGACACTCCAGGATGGGCCCAGATGCCCAACTGGGGCCCTGGACACGGCAGCTGGTGCCCTGCATGCAGCTGGGAAAGGAGCCTGCCGTCCTAGTCCTGGCCCCAGAAGCTCATTACTGATGCTCCCGCCTCCAGCCCGGTCCCTGCGGACAGGGGAGTGCAGGAGGCTCTAATGGCTCTGAGCGGCTCTTGGTGGAGGCTCGATGGAGGCGGGAGCAGGAGGGGCTGTGGTTTCTGCCTCCACTGGAGCCACAACTGCCTCTGCCCAGGGCTGGCCGGGAAGATGCTGGATGGGCACCTGCTCCAGCTGCTCCTTACCGCGGCTCTGTTCCCCAGCATCCTTGGGACAGGTACAGCTCCATTCCTGCCCCTCCTGTTCCCTGAGCCCACCCCTGATGGGGCCTTGTCCCCTGAGGGTCACTCCCTGACAGCGGTGGGGGTCTGTGCTGGGGGGCAATGCTCTGCAGGGAGAGGCGGTGGTCCACACTGGGGATGGGGGCCCAGGCGTGGTGCTGCTGGGGTTACTCCCACTGCAGCACATCTGTGGGGTCTAAGTGCTGTCCCCACAGGGGGCACAGGGTGTTCAGCACGGGGGCTGGGGGTGGACTGATGTCCTGGGCGTTTTCCCCTCCTCCCTGCCACCATCACTGCCCTTGCCCATGTTTGCCCTTGCCGAGGCCTCGGTGAGCGCTGGAGGTCATGGCAAACACAGGGCCATGGCACCAGAAGGCAGTGCCAGGGGAGCTCTGCTCAGCCACTGCTCCCTCGTGGGGTGTAGCCCACTCCGAGCTGGGGCCCCCCATGCCACGTTAGCCAGGCTCCCTGGGACTGCTGAGCCCAGCCCAGCCCAGCCCTGCTCTGCTGCATGGCGGCACAGAGCATGGTGTGGAGCTGGCAGCCTGTGCTACAGGCCCTGCACAGTTTCCATGTCCCCGCAGTGGGGGCTTGTTCCCTGCCCTCTGCAATGCCCTGCTCCCCGCTGCAGTCCTGGTGCAGAACCTGCACCTCTGCGAGGGCTACGTGGGCCCTGATGGCCGCTCCCACCCCGGCTTCTACTGCCCGCGGCTGACGGATCCCCCCAGCCACCGCTACTGCTGCCAGCCCCGCCTGGAGGCTCTCAAGTCCTGCTGCTCTCAGCTGGCCCTGGAAACCCTCACTGGAGTGAACCTGTCGAGCCTGGCTAGCCCCGGTCTGCTGCGGTGAGCAGGGCTGCAGCTGGCTGTGCTCCTGAGGATGGGGGGCCCTTGGGACACCCCCAGGGGCTTCTCCTGGCTGCGGCGGCAGGGGCTGTGGTGTCCTTCGGAGCCCACAGGGGCCCCACCTGGCCCTCCCCAGTACCACGGGAGGGTCACGGCTGCCCCCCTGAAGTGCCCCACCCCGCAGGAACCCGCTGGCCCTGCCTTTCGTGGGGCTCTATGGGCTCCTCGTCCTCGTGCTTATGGCCATCGACCTCTGCCACTTCTACTGGAGCCGCCGGTGCCGCCTCCGCCGCCTGCTGCCCCGTGGCTGCTGCGTGCCCCGTGGAGCCCCGCGGGGGCGCCCGGCCGGCACCCGGGCTCCGCACGGTGCCCCCAGAGTGACACGGCCCGGCCAGGGCTGCTGAGGGCGGCCACGCAGGGCACGGGGGGTACACAGGGGGGGCTTGCACCCAGGGGTGCCGCGGGACAGGGAGGGTCACTCACATCCCGGGGTGCAGCACGGGGGGGTTGATGGGGGGACACTCGCACCTCAGGGTGCAGCACGGGGAGTAGTACGGGGGGGCTGTAGGGGGGGACGCTGAAACTGCGGGGTTGAGTACGGGGCTGTACGGGGGGACACTCGCTCTCCGGGGCTCAGTACGGGGGACACTCGCTCTCTGGGGTTCAGTACGGGGCTGTACGGGGGACACTCGCTCTCCGGGGCTCAGTACGGGGGACACTCGCTCTCTGGGGTTCAGTACGGGGCTGTACGGGGGGATACTCGCTCTCTGGGGTTCAGTACGGGGGGCACTCGCTCTCTGGGGTTCAGTACGGGGGACACTCGCTCTCCGGGCTGCGGCGGGGACGCGGGGACACACACGGGGTCGGTGCTAGGGACACACCGCCGGTCGGTGCTGGCACCGCCGGGCCGCGAGGCGGCGCTGCAGCCTCGACCCCGCCCATTCCGGGCGCGCCCCCGTCACGTGACAAGGGCGGTGGCGTCAGGGTTCCCCAGGCGATCCGCGGTGACGTCACGGGTGCGGCGCGATGGAGGAGCCGGTGAGCGGAGCCGGGCGGGACCCGGCCGGGGGTCACTGTCCCGGGGGGTGCCTGTCCCGGGGGTCTCTGTCCTGCGGACCCTTTTCCCGGGGGTCCCTGTCCCGGGCATCTCTGGATCCCTCTCCCGGGGCTTCCTGGATCCCTGTACCTGGGCTCCCTGTCCCGGGCGTCCCTGTCCCGGGGATCCCTGGATCCCTCTCCCGGGGGTTCCTGGATCCCTGTCCCGGGGCTCCCTGTCCCGGGGCTCCCTGTCCCGGGGCTCCCTGTCCCGGGGGTCCCTGCTCCGGGGGTCCCTGTCCTGGGTCCGTGCGGGGCCCAGGGCTGTGTCCCAAGCCGGTGCCCTCGGCAGGTGACGGCGGAGCAGCTTCGGGCGCGGGGTAACGCGCTGTTCCAGGCGGGGGATCACGCAGCCGCCCTCGCTGCCTACACGGAGGCTCTGAGCCTGAGCGAGGCCCCGTCGGAGCGCGCCGTGCTGCACCGCAACCGGGCCGCGTGTTACCTGAAGCTGGTGAGTGCTGGGCGGGTGCGTCCCTGCGGCCTGCTCGAACCTGCCCGGCTGGCTGGGGCTGTTCCCAAGCAGTCATAGTCTCTCTGATCTCTGGCAGGGAATCTTTGTCTGGGGCAGGAGGTGGACACGAGGAACGTTAGGGGCTTGAGTAGACCAGAAGTGCCTGAAAAGCACTGGAGGCCATAGGGCTCCCTGGACACCCTCTGAGGGTTGTATTCTGGGAAAGACAGGGTGTCCCACTGTGCTGGCTCACTGTCTCCAGTGATGCTGTTCCCATCCTGTCCCCAGTCCCCAAAGTTAGAGGTGTAGGCTGCGTGGGGCTTGTGCCAGCAGCGCTCAGGCATTTTTCTGTCCTGTCTCTGCACAGGAGGATTACACCAAGGCAGAGGCTGATGCCACCAAAGGTACAGTCGGTGGGGCTGGGGAGCAGCCTGTGAGCCGCCCGTGGGGCGGTGGGCAGGCAGTGGGCCCGGTGAGTGACCGCTGTGCACAGCCATTGCCGTGGACGGGCGGGACGTGAAGGCGCTGTTCCGCCGCAGCCAGGCGCTGCAGCAGCTGGGCCGCATGGACCAGGCCGTCAGCGACCTGCAGCGCTGCCTCAGCCTGGAGCCCCGCAACAAGGCCTTCCAGGAGGCCCTGCGTGCCCTGGGCAGCAGCATGCACGAGAAGGTCAGCACTGGGGCACTGGGGGCTGCCGGCCCACTGGGGGTGTGCCTGGTGGGAGAAGGCAGGGAGGACTGAGCCGCTCTTTCTGCTCTGTTGCAGATGAAGGCCCTGTCCTGCACGGACTCAAAAGTAGAGCAGATGTTCCAGATCTTGCTGGATCTCGAAGAAAAGGATGCGGACAAGAAGCAGAAAGTCTGAGCTCAGGGAGAGGGGCACGGTGCTGTGGCTGGGAGGAGGGGAGGGGAGGATTGTTGCTCCTGGCCAGCGGTGGCTGAGTGGTGCTGCCTGGGCAGGCTGGGCTTGCTGCCCACAGAATGCTCCCCAAGACAGGGGCGGAGGGTGGGTGCCTGCAGCTGCTAGCAGTTCTTTGTGCAGTGTGCTACTGTGACCCAGACTGAACTCTCCTTCCCCAGGCTGCACAGAACCTGATCGTGCTGGCACGAGAAGAGGCTGGAGCAGAGAAGATCTTCCAGAGTGACGGTGTGCGGCTGCTGATGCAGCTGCTGGACACGGCCAAGGCTGACCTGATGCTGGCAGCCCTGCGCACGCTGGTGGGGCTGTGCTCCGGCCACCGCTCTCGTGTAGGTGCCACCACGTCCCAGGGCTGGGCCCAGGGGAAAGCCATGCTGGGGAGGCTGCAGAGGGTCACGCAGGGGAGCTCCAAGCTGTTACCTGCCAGGCCTGAACCTGTGAGAGGAAACCATCCTGATAAGGGGCTGGGGAGCGGCAAGGCTTCCCCAAGGGCTCCGGAGGACAGGTGTGCTTGTACCTGCAGACCACGGCCATCCTGGCGGAACTGGGGGCTCCCCGTCTCGCGGCGGTGCTGGGTGTGGAGCACGAGCAGGTGTCCCTGGCTGCCTGTAACCTGCTGCACGTGATGTTCGACTCCCTGAAGGAGGGGCTGCAGAAAGACTTCCGTGGGAAGGAGGATGCAGTGGTGCTGGGTGAGTGTGGGCTGCCCCGGCTGGCTCTTGTATGGGGAGAGCCCCAGGTAGGTGCAAGAGGTGCCGTGGGGCTATTTGCTGCTGCCCTGTCACTACTCCCTGCAGCAAATCCAGGCTCTGATCCAGGGTTAACAGGAGGCAGAAGCCTGGTCATGGCAGCATCTCTGCCAAGTGTACCATGGTAGGTGTGAGGCCATGCCCAGGGTGCTGACTGCTGGGCACTGTGTTTTTTGAAAGATTCCTCCAAGGACCTGAAATTGCTGATCAAGCACCTCCTGGAGCTGCTAGTGCTGGAAGGGGCCTCAGCACATGGCCGTGACAATGCCCTCAACCTGCTCATCAAGGTGGTGCCCAGGAAGTCACCAAAGGAGACCAACAACAGCCTGAGCCTCTGGGTGATTGATCAGGGTTAGTGGAATGGCTAGCAGTGTCCTGCTGGGGCATCGTGCTCCTCTGCCCCTGGTCTGCACATGCCTCTGTACCCCTCACTGGGCTGTCTGACCTTTTCCAGGCCTGAAGAAAATCCTGGAGGTGGGCAGCACAGTGTGCGGCAGCTCGGGCAGCCTGCCCGTGACAGAGAACAGCCGGATGAGCACCTCTGTTCTGCTGAGCAAACTGTATGAGGACCTGAAGTGTGATGCCGAGAGGGAAAACTTCCACCGTCTGTGTGAGGACTATGTGAGGTGAGCCAGGGTGTCCCAGGAGTGACGGGGCTTTTGTCACCTGCAGCCTGGCAGCACCTGTCACCCTCAGTGCTAAAGCTGACTGGGGACCTGCTGTGGGGGAGTTTCAGCAGGTGGGGCAGGGAGAAGCAGGTGGATCATGCTGACCCTTTCTGGTGGTCTTTCCCTGAAGGAGCTGGTTCGAGGGGCACGAGCTGCCGGGAAAGCTGCGGGCCATTCAGACAGTGTCGTGCCTGCTGCAGGGTCCCTCAGATGCAGGGAACAGGGTGCTGGAGCTGGAGGGCATCATGGACAGCGTGCTGTCCCTCTGCGCCTCTGTCTGCGAGGCACACCAGCTGGTGGCCGTGGAGGCGCTGATCCACGCGGCCGACAAGGCCAAGCGCGCCTCCTTCATCACGGCCAACGGCGTCAACCTGCTCAAGGAGATCTACAAGCACAGCGAGAGGGACAGCATCCGCATCCGTGCCCTTGTGGTGAGCAGCTGGCACAGGGTGTGACATTGCCCTGGGTGGGCTGTGGCTGTGGGACTGCCAGTCACAGCGCTGCTCCCCGCTGCTGTGGGTCCAGGACTCACATCAGGTTGCCTACATCCATTCCTGCTCCCACACTCTGTTCCAGGGGCTCTGCAAGCTGGGATCTGCCGGAGGGACGGACTTCAGCATGAAGCAGTTTGCCGAGGGATCCACCATGAAGCTGGCCAAGCAGTGCCGCAAGTGAGCGGGGCTGGGTGTGGGGGGTGGGCAAGGCGCCCCCCAGCTGGGCTCCCTGCAGCTGGGCTGTGCACAGCCCCACAGCCAGGCTCAGGGAGCACTCTCCAGGTGGCTCTGCAACGAGGCCATCGATGCGGGCACGCGGCGCTGGGCTGTGGAGGGCCTGGCCTACCTCACCTTCGATGCAGATGTCAAGGAGGAGTTTGTGGAGGACAAGGCAGCAATGCAGGCCATGTTCCAGCTGGCCAAGGTGCATACCAAGAACTGTGGGATGGGCACCCTGGCACCAGGGAAATGTGCTGGAGCAGGTGTGGGGCTCATGCTCGGGGGGGGTTGTGTGGGAGAAGCTGGGTGGCTCCAGTCCTGGCTGCTCCTCCCTGCTGTGAGTGTGACAGGTGCCCACTGTCGCCACAGTCAGAGGACAGGAGTGTGCTCTATGCTGTTGCCTCCACGCTGGTGAACTGTACCAACAGCTATGACCACGAGGAGCCGGACCCGCAGATGCTGGAGCTGGCCAAGTATGCCAAGCAGCACATCCCGGAGCAGCACCCCAAGGTGAGCAGGGCACGGCTGTGCTTAGGAGGAGAGTGGGTGGTGGGACAGCCTGGGGTCCCAGTGTGGACACGGTGTCCTTGAGGCCCGCAGGGTGGGGTCGGGCACCTGCGCAGGTGCTGGTGCTCCTGAGCCCAGCGTGCCCTGCCTGTGGCACAGGACAAGCCCGAGTTTGTGAAGCGGCGCGTGCGGAAGCTGCTGACGGCCGGCGTGGTGTCGGCCCTGGCCTGCATGGTGAAGAGCGAGAACCCGGCACTCACCAGCTCCTGCCGGGAGCTCATCTCCAGGTGGGACAGAGGGAGC